AACCTCTAATTTAATTTTGTCTAATAGCATCATTGAAATAATATTAGACTCGATATTGTATATTAATAATTTGAAGTCTCGGTTGCAACATGTTAAATTTTAAAAACTTAAGGATCATTCAATTGAAAAGTGAATGAAATGGCTGGCTGGCCCTTGTTCCCATATGTAATGGGGTAAGGGGGAGGTAAGATAGTAGGTTGCCCCCAACACCAGGTTGTTAGCAGCTTCCGTAGAAGACCTCCGAATTATGAAATGCCCTCCGTGGGACTCGATCCCACGACCTCAAGGTTAAGAACCTTGTGCTCTACCAACTGAGCTGGATAGTCATCTCATATGAGAAGTGAATGAAATGATGGACCCAAATCTAACTTTAGAAATCCAAGTAGGGTTACAATGGGATTCCTTTGTTTTCTCTATGCCATTTATTTAATCCTTCATTAATGGACAAAATGAGACTCTTAACCATTTGATTGTAGGATGTGTGCACGATGTTAGTAAGTTAATTTTTTTGAACAAATAATAACTTATAATCATCTCAGACTATTTAAAAAATATATTATTTTTAGATAGTACAATATGAATTACAAGGAAGTGTTTGTTTATAAAAGGCTTATATGTAATACCCCAAATTTTGTCTAGTGACTTAAATGTAAGTTTTGAAAGTTTAGTGGCTAAAGAATAAACTATGAAAAGTTTAGGGACCAAAAATGAAATTTTAAAAAGTTATATATTTTAGCCCGTAAATAAATAGTTTGGCCTAAAACATGATTTTCGCGGAATCAGATTTTCGGTACAGGATTTGTGTTAAAAACTATAAAGAGATAAAATTCTGTATTGAAATCGGATAATTGGATTGAAATCGAAATTTTACGAAAAATTGAAGGGTGTTAGAAAATTGATGTAAATATTATTTTCATATTTTATATCAGAGAAACTTGGATCATAATAGTTTTATTTTTCAGATTTAACCGAAAATGGAAATTTTAGTTACTAAAATGAAATTTTTGAAAATTGCATGGCCAAATTAGGAAGTCAAAGGCAAATTGATTCATCTTTGACTAAGGAATATTTTAATGGAAGATAATATAATGTAATTTGGTAATTTCCAAGTTTCATTAATGATATTTTTGGAATTTCTTAATAATTGAATTAAAAATTCAATTATATTAATAATATGCCATGTGTTAAGGCTAATTAATGATAAAATAATCAAGAAATTTTAGCAACTTTCAGCTTGTTTTCTCTCCAAGACCGAAACTACTAAGCTTTTAAGGTATGATTTTTTGTTTTGCTTTTTAAAGTAAGGATGTTGAATTCATGCTTAAAATTGAATGAAAAGTCCACCCTATGTATATAGTTAGGTTCGACCATGAAGGGGAAATTAGGGGGAAACATTGAAAATTTCCTATGGTTTAGAAATGATATTAGAAGTGTTCTATTTGATTTGGAGGTCAATTTGGAAGTTTGAATAAGAAAAAGGGCTAATATACAATTTTGAGAATTGTGGGACATTATTGCAAGAATGTGATATTTGAAGGGTTTAATGTTGACTTTTAATATTTACAATGCTGGAATTTAAGTTGCAGAGTTGTTTGGAACCAAATTACAAATTTGGCAAAAGTTAGGGTGGAATTCGAAAGGCTCTAAAATATAGGGACTTGATTTCAAGTTTTTAATAGTGAAAGTATTATTTAGGTAAATTATAATAATTCTGGAAATTTTAGTAGCTTGCTGATTTTGGGGTTTAATTGTTTTAGTTGGGGATTGCAAGTTTACCAAGTTGTGTGGTTGATTTTGAAAAGTCTAAGAAAAATTAGGGTGAAATTGTAAGCTTATGAATGGTTAAGTGTTGATATGAATATTTTATTAAAGTGCTGGAAATTTTATGATTAATGTGAGGTGAACATAACACTGAAGGGCTATTATGAATCTAATGAAAAAATTAAGGTGTATTATGGAAAGGCTTCAAAATTAGTGACTTGATTGTGTATTTGGTAAAAGTTGAAGGGTTGATGTGAAATAAATATTTATGGGATTAAGAGAGTATTTTGAGAAGTTTGACTTTATGTTAGGAGTATAATTTGGTTATATCGATCAAGTATTGATTTTTAATTTTATAGACTTTTATATTTCTACGTTAACATTATGTTAGTTCGATACTAACATATAGTTTGAATATATTATGTTATCATATAACGTTGCCAGATCACGATAAAATTAGCGATCCGAGCGATTCGAAAGGAAATGACAAAGCACGCGAGTAAAGAATTAGCATATAAAAGGTTCGGTAGTGAGGTAAAGGTGGGTGCAATTTATTTATTTAATTATTATGATAGATGACGACTTGCGATAAGTCATCATCATTCTATTTTCCGGTATGATTTATAAAGCTTAATTATTGAAAATTTCCATAATATTTTATGTCAGTTTTATAAATGATTTAGGGTATGAATTGTCCAAGTATGATATTCATGATAGTGAATTTTAAACTTTTACAGTTATTAAACGTTGATTTATAAATGATTTTATTGTGATATATAAGCTCATTGTATGTTGCATTGAGAGTCGTAAGTACATATGCCACGCCATTAGTTAAGTACTTTTCAGTTATCAGTTATCAGTTCAGCTATGGTACATTCGTGTACATATGATCAGCACCGTTGGTGCACAGGTTATGATTGCACTGAAGTGCATCATATCTCAGTTTCAGTTATGATTCAACATCGTGATGTGCCAAGTGCGCACCTTATATTCACGTACCTTGTGTTCTCATAAATATGCATTGGGCTGTGAAATTAATTATGAAAGTTTTGAAAATTTTTAAGTTAGCAAAGAGCTTAATATGATTATCTTGTCATATATTATTTATCAGTAAATTCATGAAATTATGAATCATATCAGGTTACCAAAAAGTATGATATGATTATTTTATCAGAGATTGATTATCATAATTTTCATGAGATCATGAATTAAGATGAGTTTTAGGTTACAATGAATAAATTGACTTGGATAAGTCGGTTTGCCAGTTTAATATTTTATTTAAATTATTTTACTTATGTTTATGATATTTTCATGTTTTATCTCACCTTAGTTTATGCCTCACTAAGTTATACTTAGTGCATGATGATTTTCATGCGTAAGTTTTGATAGAGTTAAAAACGAGCAGTGATGAGTCTCCCGAGCATCTTTTTGAAAGTCACATCTATCATCAGTACCAGTAAGACATCTACGATGTTACTTTTGACTTTTAGTTGCATATATAATTATATTAGTAGTTTTATTTTTAGATTTACTTTTAAATGGTCTGTAATAATAAATTTGGACCATTTTATTTTGTCTAATTTAGTTTTATAAGTATTTATGCATGAAAAGAATATATATATATATATATATATTATGTTTTAAATGATTTACGAAAATGCACTAAACGATTAAATCACTGTTTGACAAACGAATTTATTTTTCTACGACAAAATATTAATTTATAATTTAGGATATTCAAAAAATAGTTTTTTTAAGTTAAAATAGGAGCGTTTTAAAACGAAACAAAATTTTAGGCATTTTAGTTCAGTGAATGTTTATTAAGTTGATGTGACATCTTTAGCTTGTATTTCGAGACGTATACAAGTTATGAGTGTTACATTATATCACATATAAGTATCTAAAGTATACTATCTTTTTCATTTAAGTACCTAAAGTATACTATCTTTTTCATTTAAGTACCTAAAGTATTTTTTGGTCAAAATAAATACCTAAAGTTATCTTTTTGGTTAAAATAGGTACCTATAGTATTTTTGGTCAAAATAGATACCAAGTATTCAATTTGTTTTATCTAAGTACCTAAAGTATTCTTCAATTAATGTCACATGTCAACTTTTTTAGAATATAGATGAAAAAGTTTGAATAGTTTAGGAACCTATTTTGACATAAAATACTTTAAGTACTTATTTTGACCAAAAAGATAATTTTAGATACTTATTTTGACCAAAAAATACTTTAGGTACTTAAATGAAAAAGAATATATACTTTAAATACTTATTTGTGATATAAGCCTTTACAAAAAAAATTAACCAATTGACAATATATACATCTGACAAACACAATTATTCGAACTTATATCCTCTCAAAAGAACAATATTCTATTTTAGTATTGATACCACTCGATATGTTGTATATTTAAAATTCAAAATACAAATTTCGGATTCTTTTTTACAACATCGTTCGTACTCTAGAAACTTACACGCACCTACACATCATGAGAGGATTACTCTATCCAACTCCCCAAAACAAGGAGATGAACCAGGCTGAGAGCAACTCAGTACCATATACAAAACCACCAAGCATATTATTATTATGAATCAAAGAATCTAACTATTTTTCCTATTGTAAATGCTCTTAACATAATCTAAAGGTTCTCAAAACCTGATGATGATGATGATGGGTACCCATTGTTTCCCTCAGCTCATCCTCTCTCTTCCTCTTGGGTATAGCTAAAGAAGACACGGCTTTTGCTGCTAAAACCTTCTTCACGAGCACCTTCCACTTTGCATCGTCGTCCATTTTCTGCTGTCGTGCTTTCACTTTGAATTGCCTGTCAACAACAACTCGACGTGGTTTAATGTTTTGTCTGGCAAATGAAAATAAAAGATGGGGAGACCTTTTAGGACCCACCACCACTAAGCTGATATTTTTTTTTGTTATTAGAGCATGAGATGAATGAAGGTGGCACTTGGCGGATGAAAGAATCTCCGATTGATTTGATGTTATTTCTTATGGGGACAAGTAAAAATCTACATGACTCTTTATCTTGTGATGGATAATTAGCAAAATATCTAAAGAAAACGATAAAAAAGAACACTTTCATGGCGGATGAAAGTTGCCAAGACGAGCACGAAACGCAGATGAGAGAACTTCAAAGCCTAACCCGAAGAGTAGAATCCTAAAAGTTGCCCATTTCTTATCCAATTAATTGAACCTACTAACTACCAAATAGCATTGAAAAAAAATGTATTTAGGACATTCATAGGCAGTTTGATTACTCCATCCAAAGACAAATGACATTATCAACAAAATAGTAGGTTAATTATAGATTTTTATCACTTTAACTTTATTTTAGTCATTAAAATTTAAAATTTTAGATTTATTCACTGAATTTTTTTATTTATTCTTACTTTGATCACTGAATCATTAAATATTTAATGTTGGGCCATATTCTTCTAAATTTCAATGGTAGCTAGGTGAGAAAGGAAGTGAATTGTATATCTTGAATTCACACAAATTGAATGGAGAAAATTGTAGATTAAAGTGGTATCGGATTTCACGAGTTCTACATTTTAGGTTGAATTTCACAAATTTTAAAGTGAATTTAAAAAAATCTAGATTGATTGAGTCGTAAAAGATGATGAGATTAAAAAAGGAAAACTAATTAGGATGATAAGTGAATGTCATGTCTTTAATTTTTTTTAATTTTTAATAACTGAACTAAGAGAAAAGAAAATTGATGGATGAAATTTATAATTTAGTCTAAAATAAAATAAAAATAATTGGTTTTTAATGTTTACCTGCAAAGTGGAACCCTGCAAGAATCTGGGTGATCACAAATGGAGGAATGGAGCCGAAGAAGCTGCCACATTCGCTTGCAGCGAGAGCACCCTCCACCGTTGACCCTTCTCTTGCACAAAGCGAAATGCTTTATCAACAGCTGAACCCCGTGGCACGTCGCGTACTTGTTGCAGGGACCCGGTTTCTTAGCCGGTTTCACGTCGTACGGCCCCACGGTGGTGCACCCTTCCGTGCATATGTGCTGGAAACACTCCATTGCCTCGCTTAGCTGAAAATACAAGCCCTGTGCTTCCCTGTGCCGCCTTATTCTCTTCTTTCTCTGCGACATTATATCGAACACTCAGAACCCACTTTTACAAATAACAAAATCATTATCGTTAGCTGATTTTTCTTCTTCTTCTTCTTCTTCTTCTTTTACTTACCGTTTCAGCTTCATCGATGAATTGAAGAATCTGAAGCTCGAGCCAGGGATCATGATCCTGCATGAAACTCCAACCTTCGGTTTGCTCGACAGATTTGAAATGGGCGGCGATGTGTTTCAAGCACTTGAGGTGAAGATCGGGAGCGTCGCAGAGCCTGGCGAGTTGGAGGACGTCCACCGCGTTCTCCGCCGTCAGCCGCTGACTGACTCCCCTGCTGCACCGCAGCTTAAGCGGCGGGACTGAGTAAACGTGCGACAACGCTAGCAGATGAATCCCGTATTTCGCCAGTTGCTCTTCATCGCACCTATTGCAAAACCATTTACCTCAATTCAACTTCGGAATAAAAAAAAAAAATCTGAAAACGTAAAAGAAAACGCATCATCAAAACTTCGAGAACTTTTAGAAAATTTTATAGCCGACCAATACAGATTACCCACGTGGCACTTTCTTAAAGCTCATGTTTATAAAATAGGATAAATTACATGTTTAGTACCTAAAGTATCATTTTTATTCCGTTTTAATATCTAAACTTTCAATTTCTTCAAAATCATACCAAATATTTACTTTTTATTTCATTTTAGCACCTGAAGTTTACTTTTTATTTCATTTTAGTACCTGAAGTTTACTTTTTTTTTCATTTTAGTACCTAAATTTTTAATATTAGGTACTAAAATGAAACAAAAAGTAAACTTAAGGTATAGTTATGAAAATGTTAAAAATTTAAATACTAAAACAGAAAAAAAAAATAGTTTAAGTACTAACCACGTAGTTTACCCTATAAAATAATATTATGATGATAAACGCCTTATTATTTTACTAATCAGAGTCAGTGGTGGATTATCCATCGTCAGATTATATATCACGTGGAAAACAAGGAAGAAATGAACGGCGGAGATCATTCAGAAAAACAAAGACGGTGGAAAACCAAAAGCTACGCAATTTCATATTTGTTCACAAATCGGTAGCTAATCTTTTATTTGTCTCAAAATAGTACCTAAACAAAGATTCTAAACTTCTATTAGGTATCAATTTAGGGGGGGGGGAATTGGCAAATTCATAGACCCATTTGTGTAATAAGTCAAATCAAAATGCTTCGAGATAAAGCCTCCGACCTGGAAGAGTAGAGGTATTCAACAAAAGCAGAAACGGCGTCGCACGGTACACCGAGAATCGGGATGACTCGTTCGGAGCTCCGGTGCTTACGTGGCCTCTCGATTATATTTTCCAGCACCGGCGACGCCATTGCCTTATTTCATAAAAAAGGAGAAATCAGATCCGATCAAAACAAAAAAGGAGGAAAAAAATTGAAATATAAAAGGCTCAGCTGAGGACTACCAATATGCTGGTGTGAGCGGGGATGCGGAGGCCTCCGGAGGTAAGGATGTGGACATCGGGCTCCGGTAAGTGAGATGCGGAGGAAACGGCGGAGATGACGGCGGAGGAAGCTGAGTTGTAACTGTTGCGTTCCATTGAAAGAAGAATTGAAGAAAGAGAAGGGACTGCTGCGCTGGCGATGTCTCGACAGAGGTTGTTGCCAATGACGGGTGAGACTCGAAATTTATAGGCCGCTTAGAAAAGGAGCAAGAAAAGCAAAGAGACGACCAATCCGACCTGTCATCACGCGTGACGAAAACATTATTATGCGGAATGTACCCACGCGCTTCATGATTTTACCTTTTTTAATATAATTTACATATTATTATTTTAAATAAAAATAATTTAATTCTTTTCCAGATTTAATTACCGACGGATAAAAAAAATATAAGCCCTAAAGCTTAATTTGAATTCAATGTATTGATTTAATATGCTCACTAAAATTTGATTTGTTTGGAGATTTTTATTCGTAATATTTGTTCAAAATACTCTCGATCATTTGATAATAAACATTTATCGTATGTGTCATGTTCAAACAGGAAGTTCTGTCCTATATTGGGTAGTTTTTTTACCGGAAATGTTAAAAAAATAATAACATTTCTGGAAGCGCATTTATTTAGTCTTATATTAGGTTGCCGCATGTGAGACTTCTCGTGTTCGAACCCGAGACAACTAAAGATAACAATTATCCTTTTAATCAGCGAGGTAGTTTGATTCTCGTATAATTTATTTGGATATTTTGTTGATGACATAGTGAGATGCTTCTCATGTCGATTAGATATTACATTTTATAAATTTTAAATATAATTTCTATAATTTCTTTCATTGATTGTTTGAATTTTATCCCTTTTTTAAATGTACAAATATAAAAATTGTGTTCATTTCAAAAACAAATTTCATTTTAGGACTAGATTAATCCTAAAAAAATTATTTTTATGATAATTATTTTTATTTTCATACAATAATCTTATTTTTATATTTTAATTTATTTGTTATAATAATTGATATGTTGTCACCTTTCTTTTCTCTTTCTTCTTCTTTACAACTTGTGTCAATTTTATTGATTAATCCAACTCTTTTTTTAATTTTATTTAACCGATGGCAACACCGGTTTTAATGTTGGTTGTCCCATGTCGATTATCTTTTTTTCTTTATTTTTTTATTTTGGTCGCAGCGGTGAGACAATTTTGATGATGTCAACAATGATCGTTACAGATCGACGGTGGCTGATCGACGACGAAAGATGTAAATTTTAGGGGTTTTTAAATTATAATATTAAGTTTTTTAAATAAAATAATTTTAAAAATCTTATATATGTGACACGGGTCAGATAACATCTGCATTTAACTACTGTTGCTATCCAAACACCTAAAAATACAATGTTAGAAACATTAAGCACCTATTAATAAAAAATATTTAAAGACTAAATCGTATTTTGAGATATAATTTAGGCAGTAAAAAAGTGTATTAAGGCCAAAAATAAATATCTAGATTTTACCATGTGGCTTTTCTAAGCTGACTTGGCAAAGGATAATACGATGACTAGACGACAGGTAATTCTAAAAGAGCCGGTTTTGTAATAAAGATGGCTTTCGGCGAGCCGAAGAGTCCATGTCAATTCGACGTGGCACTTGTTGTAATCCAATCACGTGACTTTCCACGTGTCAACAACGCACCGGTCAAGTATAAAAACTGACGTGTTCGAATAGGGCGCAATGGTTTCAATAACCAATCCGAAACCAGCACGTGTTGGTCCAAGGTTGACCTTGGAGATTTCTTCGTTGCTGGACACAAATGCTCGTCATGTTGACCAATGAAAATTGTCGGAAACCGACGCCGTTTTTGTTAAAAAAATAAAGCTGGCTACGGTCGTCCGCCGTGCTTGCAGATAATTATGCCTCTAATGGATATTGTTAAACTTATTTAATTACCAAATTTTGATTAATGAATTAAGATTTGTTTATTTATTGGCGAAGGATATACTGATAACATTGCTTTAAATTAATATTTGAATAATAAAATTTATTGAATATTTATTTGTAATTTATTATATTAGCTCTAACATAAGGGAGACCATGAATGTCCCTTTGGAGCAAAGAAGCAATTCCATGAGGAGGATCAGGGAAGACTCGTGTGGAGGAATTAGAGGAAGTCGATAGCTTGGCCATAAAGTCAGCTACAGGGGATGTAACAAGGGACAGGGCCTTGGAGCAATCCGTTTGGCATTGGACCAAGCAAGACGGAGACCTTTCAAAATACCCCAGAGCTCGGCGTGAAGGGGTTGAGAGGAGCCAATATACTAGTTGAAGCCTAAAAGCCAATCGCCTGGTTGATTCCTGACGAGACCACCTGCATAGCTTGTCCAGGAAGGGCTCCAAACCGAGCCATCTGTGTTGATGGTAACCCAGGGGGAAGAAGCTGGCAACCATTTGACAATCTCCTGGGTGGGAGGGGGTCTCGATGACTGCTGGGAAGAAGCAGTGAGGGTGTGAGCAGACAATATTCCATGGAATTCCAATACCTGCAAGAAGACAATATTCCATGGAATTCCAATACCTGCAAGAAGGAATGCAGATCGAAGACTTAAGATAATCCACACATCAATTGGCAGGTTCCAGAAATTATCCAGCTGGTTTTGAGGAATAATGGAGGTCCATAGATTCCTTGTTTCCTCGCAATCACACAGCATGTATAGTGGTTTCTTCGACAGCCTCACAAATAGAGCAAGAAGAGTCATCGGCAAGCATTCTACGGAAGCAACTTTGGTTGGTTAAGAGCTTAGCTCTGAACGATAGCCAGAGGAAGTGCTTAATACGTTCTTGGAAGGGGAGCTTCCAGATGAGATTCCAATTGGGGTTGGCGACATCCCAGACAGCATTAATGATCTTTCTGTAGGCCGACTTGACAGTAAATAAGCCATGCTTTCCTGGGCTCCAAAACCAACGATCAGGTCCCATTACAGGATCGGGACAAGGGATGCTCAAGACATGAGGAATAACTTCGGGAACAGGGAGAAATTTCAATAAACCAAAATCTCAAGAGCCAAAAGGAGAGAGGACATCGCATACTAGAAGGTCGTCTTCAATAATGGCAGTCACCTTACCAATTGATTAGGCGACTAATGTGAGGCACCCAATTATCATGTCACAAACGAGTAAGCGAACCATCGTTAACAAACCAGACAAGAAAATTATAAAACAAAGGCCAAATTTTACCGAGAGCACGCCACAAATGGGAGCAAGAGTCACGTTTAATGGAAGTGCCTTTTTCTTCGACGAGCAGTACGCCCCCCAAGATCAATAAGGAGGGGCCGGTGATCAGACTTCATCCGAAGGAGATGGGTAACATGGGAGTTGGGAAAAGTGGCAAGCCAAGTGTCATTGCATAAGTCTCGGTCCAGGCGAACAGCATTGTTACCTCTATACCAAGTAAAGGCGGGTCCCTGAAAACCAAGGTTGTGGAGACCGGCATTGAAAACAGCTTCGGAAAACTGGCTATCCGACTTAGAAACTTGCTGAGAACCCTTTCTTTCGTCCGAAGAAAGAATAGCATTAAAGTCCCCGGGAGAAATCCAGGGTTCCTAAGTATGGCGAGAGACGTCACGGAGATAGTTCCAGAGAGGAATTCGCTTGGAAGGCTGCGGGCTAGCATATACGAAGGCAGCAAGACACGAGCGGACTTCCGAATTACATCTGATTCTACAATGGATAAATTGAAAATGAGGAAATAGAGTGTCCACTTCAATATTATCAAACCAGCATATCCAAATTCCACCTGCAAAACCATTAGCTTCAACACGGAAAGAGTTCGGAAAATTTAGAGTAGCTACACCTTGTCGGCTTTGGACATGCTAATTCGAGTCTCAACAGAGCAAATAATATCCGGGCTAGCATCCTGGATATATTGACGAGCGACACGGATAAAATTACGATGACCACACCCTCGGGCGTTCCACACAAATATCTTCAAATTCATAGGAAATGGAGAGAGGAGAGAACCACCAAGGTGGGTTATTCTACCATGGCCACATGGCCCTCACAGTCTCCCCCGAAAGAGTCATAGCAGGTATTTGGGGGTGGTTATTTTCATCAACATGAGGCGCTTGGTGCTTCGAGATGTCCAGGGTTGTCCAGGAATTAGTCCTTGTTGCGAGCGGCACTCTGGCTGCTTTGGAAGAGCTAACAATTTTGCTGGTTGACCCAGTACGTGACCCCTGCATGGATTGAGCATGGCTGGTTTTAGAAATTTTTAATGATGTCATACCTGTCTTTTTATGCATGGGGTTTGACTTTCTAGCTGGTAAGACAGCTTCTTCTTTGGACTTATCATTGTCGTTGGGCATCCCGGGAAGAGTGGGAAAAGTCTCACAAGCATCAGTCTTAATATAAGATTAAGTGAAAACGTTATTGATTTTATTCTTAATTTTTTAATAAAATAAATAAAAAATTATCAAAAATATTATTATTTTTACTAATTTTACTATTATTGGACACTTTATTGATTTTGTTAACATATCCGGTAAAGCGCTACCTAAAATATTAATTTTTTATCAGTATTGTTATTATTTGGTACTTTACCGGAAATATTAAAAAACATTAATGTTTTAGATAAAAATAATAATATTTTAGATAATTTTTATCGATTTTATAAAAAAAATAATAACAATACTAATATTATATTTTCTTAGTTGTATATTAATTAATAAAATCGTTACTTGTACACATAAACTTTGGCTTAAATTAAATATCTTTAATTAATTCCAATTTCAATTAACTTTAAATTTTGGGTAAATTACACTAATCATCACTGAACTTTACTATCTCTTCTGTTTCACTTACTTACTTTAAATATGTTCAATTTTCTCATTAAATTTAACATAATTACATTTTTGGTCACTTAGTCGTTTTCTCACTAAACGACGTTATAAATGAGCTTTTATATAGATGCAAAACGACGTCATTTTGGTAAAAAAATATTTTTCTAAAACGGCGTCATTTTAACACCATTAAATATTAAACAATTAAATGACCAAAAATGCTAATTGTATTAAATTCAATGAGGAAATTGAATTAATTTAAAGTATTGTGAATAAAATAGAAGACAGAATAAAGTTAGGTGACAAT